TCTTCCGCAGCCTCCTCACTGTCCGACTCTGCTGCCAGCTCCGCAGGCTGTTGGCAGACCACAACACGCCAGGCTCAAGGATGACTCACCCTTCTATCCTTCCGAGGTGGGTAAAATGAGGACCCAGATTGTTGGAGGCAACAGGCTGACTCTGTAAACCGCTTAGAGAGGGCTGTAAAGCACTGTAAAGCAGTATATAAGTCCTATTGCTATTGCTAAAGTGATGCTGAAGCATCAGAAACCAGGGTGAAGGACCGGGAAAAGCCTCTGATTTTATCATGAACTTTGAAACAACATTCAAGTCACCGATTCCCTAAAAGCCTGTTAAATGTGCTTCCAGGTTCATTTCAGGTGCTGGTAGTGACTTATAAAGCCCTTCATGGCATGGGTTAATTTGCTTTAGGACCATTTCTCCCGTATTATGTCTGACTGTTCCATCAGATCAGGCAGGAAAGACATGCGATGGGTCTTGTCTATGAAAGGGACATACCCAGTTGTGGCACCCACTCTTTGGAACATCCCCTCCTCCACCGGACTAGATTATCCCCAACCCTCGTAGCTTCTCAGAAGGAACACTTGACAGGTTCCTCAACCATCAGAAAATGCCCTTAAGATTCCAACTATTAATTTAGACCTGGATCCTTTAACCTCAACTTGAAATAGAAGCTTGCAAAAGAAGGCAAAGGATAACCCTTCCCTGAAAGCAGCCTATGCAGAATAGTTACAGAAAATATGGATTGCAAGGCAGTGAGATATCATGAAATGCTAGTGCCCAGTGGTTTTACAGATTTTTTTGCTAAATTATAGATGGGGCACTTGATCATAATTTAGGAGACACTATTCTAGGTAGTAATATTCTGGTGGATAGCAATATGCTATACAGGGTTTACTGTTTAATCTATTATCTTAAGTGTCTCATACAGAAATTAGCTAAATTTGGCAAATTTTATAAAATATTTTATGACATAATACAAAATGTCATAAAACACTTTTCCTGAAATGTTTTAACTGATCTTTGACCGCACTATCAAGTTCAGCATGGACTGTTTTCAAGGCAGATATAGCTTTGACTCTAACCCAATTATTACAGTGAAGGCAGCACATTAGAAGTCCTGCCACTGATGGAGGCATTGAGAAATCTGGTAAAGAACTCTATCTCTGAAAGTTGACCCAGTTGTCATGGGTTGTCTAGTCCTTAGATAAAATTAAATTAAACTTTGCAGTACCCAAAAGCAGTCCTGAAATATCATTCCATCCAGATCTTCTACCATTAGTTTAAATTCCACAAATTAGTTCGGTACTGAGCCTTGTCTTGGTGCAGACTTCTCATCTTTTAGGTCAGGAGTTCTCATCCCAACCTTTTCTATACCCTGCACCCTAGAATGCTTCTGATATATTCTTGCACCACTTACAAAAGTAAATAATTGTATGCATATAATTATGCATATATACTATAATTTTGAAACTTCTAAGCCCAAATTTTTGCACCCCCTGGAATATAGTCTCGCACCCCCGGTTGAGAACCCCTGTTTTAGGTGGTCATCCAAATGTAGGGAGATAGTACGTGTGAGATTGAGATTGAGAATTTAGAAGATTATCTCTGTCTCCATACTACTGCAGATGTCAGTTTGCTAAAAATCAGGGGAAGAAGTTGAATTTGTCAGAGAGTTCCCCAGGAAAGTGGAAATGGCAGATACTGCAGTAGGCACCTACACAAAGCCTTCCTTCCTTCCTTCCTTCCTTCCTTTTGTTCCTTGGATAGCTCTCAGAAAGAGCTATCCAAGGTCCTGTTTACTTGCTGCCTTCTTTTCCGGAGGGCTTCTGTCTGAGTTCTTTGCTGTCTGACCAGGTTTGATTGATTTGCTGTGAATGGCACTTTCTTTCCTGGATTACTGAGTCTCCTAGAATACAAAGGTGTCAAAGGATGCGATACCTGCCTTTTGTCTGAGAGACTTTGAACACATTGGTTCATCGATGAAATCTCCATGCCCTTCGATCAGAAGGCACTAAGCAAGCTTCTCAAATTTCTGGCCAATTGAAGTGAGCATTGACAGAGCCCGGTTGAAGTTGTGTTTGCATTTACCAGATGGTTATTTCAGCAGTAAATTATGTTACTCAACAAAGGGATTTGTCTTTCCATACTAAGAGAATCCATTTGCACCTTGACTTAATAGATGGCAACTGTAGGAACAGGCTCCGGGGAGAGTAAAGGTTAATATAGAAGTAGTGTCTTCCTTCTCTGAACAGGATTGTTGGGCACCTGGGCCAGGCTGGTTCTGGACACTGGGAAGGGATTTTACTACCTTGCATGCTAAGCACTGGGATTTGGGACACAAGCACATTTTTGGACTTTGGCAGGTTATGAGTAGCATGATTAAAAATTGTGACCTTCTTCTATGACTCAAATGTTGGCTTTCTGTTATACAAAAACAGATTTTTCTCTTGCATTACCTTGGGCATTGCAATGTGAAGGATAAGATGTGAAATCGGGTGGAATGACCTCCCTAAGGCAACTGCACATTCCTTGGGGTTGAGGTATCATACTCTTTTTGAAACTTTATACTAACTTCAGCACCTGTTTAATGATCATATCATCTATGCTGAGCTAAACCTGGATCATTATGAAGAAACGTGTATGCCAAAGAATTGCAGTGCTGTTAGATCATTTGACGATGGAGTCTAACTGTACTATTCCCAGCCCCTTTGCTTCTCAAAGAACTGTCTCCAAAAGATTGATTTGTGCTATTACTAAGCTTAAAGTTATGAAGCCGAACTGTTTTGTTCATTGGTTGGAAGGTAGCAGATTTAAAGACTGGGCTGCTAATCAGTCAGTGACATTCCTTGTTGCTCTTCCCAGTGAGAATAATGGGGGGCAGAATGGCCTTCAGGAGCTGTGGGGCAGAAATGGGGCAGATCCTGCAGAGTGGCACATTCTGGGGGTTGCCCTCTGCAAGTAATTCCACAGTCACTGGGAAGGCCTGGTGAGAGTTTGAAGGTTTATTTATTTGTTAAATTTATTTGTCACCCATCTCGCCAAGCGGCTACCCTGGGCGGCTTACAACAGTAAAATGAAAAAAGATAATTAAAAAATGTAAACCTAATGATAGCAAAGCAATGAAACAATAAAAATAAACAAGGGAAGTACAACGATATGGATTAAAAAATGGGCCGAAGAGGAGCAGAAAGTGCAGGGGTGAGGTGGGGTCTGCTAATTAGCCCAGTGGCCACCACTGGTGTGGGGTACTCTCCCATGGGGTCCCCAGGCCAACCAGCAGAGCCAGGGCTTCAGGCCCTTGTGGAAGGTTAGGAAGGGGGCAAACCTCATGAGTGGGGTGGAAGGATGTTCCAGAGGGCTGGTGTTACAGCAGAGAAGGATCCCGCCAGTTGGAATCCCTTGACCGATGGGATCTGCAGCAGGCCTCCTCTACCGGGCTTGTCTTAGTGGAATGCAATGGTTCCCCAAATATTTGAATCTATGCCAGGTTACCTTCCTGTTTCCCATTTTTCTCTCACATGGTTGAGAGGAAAGCAGGAGCCTGGATAGCTCAGTAGACTAATGCATTGTAATTTAACTCCAGCTGCCTGCAATTACTGCAAGTTCAAGTCTTGCCAGGCTCAAGGTTGACTCAGCCTTCCATCCTTTCTAAGGTAGGTGAAATGAGGACCCAGTTTGTGGGGGCAATAAGCTGACTTTGTATAAATATACAAAAGGATGAAGGCTGTTGCTTAACACATTGTAAGCCACCCTGAGTCTCCGGAGAAGGGCGGCATATAAATCAAATTTAAAAAAGCAAACAAAAAACAACTGGATATGGCTAGTCTAGAGAAAAGAAGGACTAGGAGTGACATGATAGCGCTGTTCCAGTATTTGAGGGGCTGCCACAAAGAAAAGGGAGTCAAGCTATTCTCCAAAGCACCTGAAGGCAGAATAAGAAACAATGGATGAAAACTAACCAAGGAGAGAAGCAACCTGGAATTAAGGAGAAACATGCTAACAGTGAGGACAATTAACCAATGGAACAGAAGTTGCCTCCAGAAGTTGTAGGTGTTTCATCACTGGAGGTTTTTAAGAAGAGACTGGACAGCCACATGTCTGAAATGGAGTAGGGTCTCCTGCTTGAGCAGGGGGTTGGACTAGAAGACCTCCAAGGCCCCTTCCAACTCCATTTTTTAGAATAGAATAGAATTCTTTATTGGCCAAGTGTGATTGGACACACAAGGAATTTGTCTTGGTGCATACACATACGAATGGTGCATTCTGACTGATTGAGTTTCATTGCTTTTGTCATCCGTTTGACATGTTACTGATGGTTATGTGTCATTGTGTTGGTGGTTTTCCGTTGTGGACTTCTCCTTTGCAGAAAGAGTTGATGGTGGTTGTAATTCCAGGCGTAGCTGTGCTCCTCCCCAAAGACTTCGTGCTTTGTGCTATCCTTATCCTGAACCCTGCATGGAACTCCTCACAGAAGGAAACATTAGAGATGGACTGCAGTTAGATTTGAACAATGTCTTAATATGGTCAGAGATCAAAAAGATGCAGCTGAGTGAGAGGTGGCAGAATCTCACGTTTTTGTTATAAAATTATTTCTCTGAATTGTCCTTTGAAGTTTGAGTCTAGTAGTTTCAAACAAATTAGAAAATTTAAAACCATAAAAATTAATAGCAATAGAATACTTTAAAAATAAAAATGTGGACATTCATTTCAACTTATTCAGAACAGAACAGTTTTAATATCCTGCTAAAAACTGTTTGATCCCCTTCATGCGACTCAGTGAAGCCAGTGGTAATAAAATTGACAGTTTTTCATTTTGCCTTCCCCCCCCCCCCCCCCCCGAGGCCATCACAGCTGGTTCTGTGGAAACAGAGGCTGCTGCTTTTACACTTAATGGTCAGAGTTCCTAATTTTAGCTTTGTGCATTATTTGCTCTTCCAAACTGCCTTATGTGAATTATTTGTGCTGTGCTGATCCGTGCTGACCTCTCCTGCCCTTCTTCTCTTAGATGGCCTGGCTGAATGTCTTCTCCCCCGAGGAGAGGCCTCTCTTTAGAGAAGAAAGCCGCAGTGTACGCAGAAACAAGAGAAGCAGGAACAGCGAAGGATCAGAAAGTGAGTTGGCATCCTTTGGGCTGTCTCCCAACAAATGGGTTCCTCCTTTAATATCCCACCTTTCCACCAAGCGCTTGAGGGGATATGTATGTCCAGGGCTTCCTTCTTCGTGGTCCTTCATGGCAGCCTTGTGAGCCTGGCTGGGCTGAGAGGAGGTGGCCGGCTGAAGATTGCTTCTGTCACTGAGCTGCTTGTTTTCTTCTCCACCCCCTCCACCCCCACCCAAACCATTTCTGTCTGGAGCATCAAAACATCTTCCACCCAAACAATATGTTGCACTTCCCAGTACAGGTTATTCTCAACTTAAAACCATTTGTTTAGTGATTGATAGAAGTTACGATGGCCCTGAAAAAAGTGACCTTATGTCCATTTTTCACACTTATGACCATTGCAGCATCTCCATGGACACAAACTTCAGACATTTGGCAACTGACTCATGTTTATGACAGTTGCAGTGTCCCTGTGATCCCCTTTTGTGACTTTTTGACAAGCAAAGTCAATGGGGAAGACAGATTGACTTAACAACCGTTACTAACTTAACTCTTGTAACGATTTGCTTAACAACTATGGCAAGAAAGGTTGTAAAATGGGACAAAACTCAGTAACTGTCTGGCTTAGCAACAGAAAGGTTGGGTTCAATTGTCGGAAGATGAGGACTACCTGCAATGCATATATTTGGCTTAACAGAAATTTATCAAGCCATCTATACATTTTCAAATGTTCAGGTTCCAAATTTAGGACAATAAAAGAGCCATAATCTTATTCAAATAAATGAGATACAATTGCTGGAAGATCCTGAATTAGTTCAGCATTTCAGCTGAGTTCTGCCCTGGAACTCTCCCTGTAAGTGGCTGCTTGGAGACAAAATCTGGAATTCCGAGTGCAAAGTTGCTGGGGAGCAATGAGTTTTAACCCTATGCTTCCTGCATTTCTGGTCCTCCATCCTGAGGGTTCAGAAAGATGCACCTGTCCTCACCTGTCATGGCATGAATGACCTTGGGAGATTTGGAGTGGGGGAGAGATGGGAATGATCAGGTAAGAGGGGGCAAAGCCTGCAGCTGCATAAGGGGAAGAGAAAGAAACTTGGAAAGGAACCCTAAATTCTCAGGCTGTAAAAAGTTCGCAGGAGATTTATACTATCAGACTTGCCAGATTCTGTTAATGTAGCCTTACAGTAAAGTAGAAGGAGTTCACCTGGTAGTGTTTCCTGCCTGGTCTACCTGGGAAGGTTGACATCAGCCTTCTGCAGTAGGAAATGGATCTTCCTACCCAAGGGCAGGGAAAAGTTTATTCAGCTGATCAGTCTTCATTCCTGCAGTATTATGAATTTCTGTAGGTTATCTTGGCACAGTAACTTCTGCTAAAACAAGCTTAGAAGAAAATACAGCACCATATTTGAATTATATTTGATAAAGAGCAATAAGGCATCTAATATGTGGCTGGATCAAAGTTAAGCTGGAAATATAATTTAAAATTGTTTGCTATAAATTACCTGGAATTTCCAAAGTGGCATTGGAATTTAGCGTCAGTATGTCCCACATTGACCCATCAAAATAGATGCCGGGTGTTGTAGCACTTTTCAGCACCCTATCCCATTATAAGATATACACAGCTGCTCTTGACAGTTGATGCTCCAATAAATTGGCTTAGTCTAGACCAGCTTTGCTGGCTGAGGAATTCTGGGAGTTGAAGTCCACAAGTCTTAAAGTTGCCAAGGTTGGAGACCCCTGGTCTAGAAGCTGCTTTCAGACTCCCATGTCTGTTTTATTGCTGTTGATAAACACGCCATGCCCTCCTTCTCCCATAACCCAATAAATAATTATTTAGAACAAAATTTAAGAGTGTTGTGGAATGTCACATTTTAACGATAGGTAGTTCTGCTCGTTTCTTCTGAGCAGGTTTGAGTGTGCAGAGTATGTTTGTGTGAACTGGACTTAGTTTGAACTTAAATATGTGGTGAGTAACCCAGAGTCATGTACTTGAGTTGAGTGGTCTTATAAAATGAATGAATGAATGAATGAAAGAATGAACGAACGATCCTATCCCATTTAGGCAGGTCCTATGAAAAGAGAAATGGGGTGTTAATAGTCTCTTTCTGTTGCCAAAGAGTGACCAAAACCATGATCATTGGGGAGGGGGCAGTTTGAAGAGGGAGGCAAACAATGGGGTCTAGCTTAACATCTAAGAGCTTTGACAAGCTTGCACATACTATCTGGAAGTCCTTTTCATTATCACTGAAAATTATGGAGAGTAGGCCTCTAGACATTGTACTAGACTGCATTGTTTTTCAACTTCGGCAATTCTGTGATGTTTAGATTTCAACTCCCAGAATCCCCCAGCGAGCATGGCTGGCTGGGGGATTCTGGGAGTTGAAGTCCACACATCATAGAGTTGCCGAAGTTGAGAAACATTGTAGGAGAGGATTGGAGAAGGGCCAATGGAGAGACCTCAGGCATTTGATGCTAATTGTGGGCAAAATATTAGTAATTTTGAAATATTTTATCACTCTAATCCAAAACCAGTGATTTTCTTGTATTATTTCTTAAAGTCTTAACAAATGTTTCTGTGTCATTTCTTGGTAACAGTGCATTAGTGTAAAAACCCAAAGAAATGACTTCCTTAAAATGGAGCAGGAATTACGTACCCCTCATATTCATAATCTTTTTTAAAAGCTTTTTTTTAAAAGAAATGCCATGATCTAGGATCCATCGCAAGCAAACAGAACCGGAACGCATCTAATGTTATGGCCTTTCCCCAACCCCCTGTTTTTCATCTATCTGCAGGGTGGATTTGATTTAAATCAAGTCGATTTAAATCACAATTTAAATCATGATTTAAATCACTAGTAAAAAGGCTTGATTTAAATCAACTCAATTTAAATCATACTTTTTAAAGAGTAACTGTCATCTCTGCTCCGCAGCGACTCCTCCTCTGACCTGCTGTTGACTCACCGACAGTCCCAATACTGCAGAATATGCAGCCTCATGCTACATTTCATGCTGAAAAAACTAAATTATTAATGTATCTTAAATAGAAAATAATCTTTAAGTAGAATTTTACTCCAAAAGCATTTTATTAAAATAAATTTGATAAAAATCAAAAACATCCGATTTAAATAAAAAAATCCGATTTAAATAAACAAAATCTTTAAAAAAAAAAAACACCATTGATTTTTATCCATCCTGTCTGTCTTTCTGTCTATCCCTGTCTCTAAAATGAATTCTGTCCATTTTTGGCTCCTAAAAGTTTTTAGTGCTTGCTCAGAGGAGTAGTATTTCTGTCAGCCGCTTTTTACTTCAATTTTTGTTAGTCGAGAGGTGAAGAAAGAAGAGACCCAAGGCTTCAACCTGCTGTACATAGACCTAGACACACTCAGGCGTTACACATCACACCAGCAGCTGCACTGCCATGGTTCTGACTGCAGCTGATATGCACAAACAGCCCTTTTGAGAAAAAAAAAAACACCAATTTCTGGAATGACAGCTGGATTCCTCTCTTAGTACGCAGAAGCAACGTTCCTGAAAAAAAAATCTCCTAGTGCTCAGAGAAGATTTAGAAGCAAAACAATCTGATGGGGAGAGTTTCCTTTGGGGAGGATTGTCTCGGAGAGCCCCAGGTGGTTGCAGGAGGAAACTTAACTGCTTTCCCTCAGAGTTCAGGGCCAGCTTGGAAAATGAATCAGGTTTTGGCCATTGATGAAAATCTTTGGTTCTGCTGGATCTCTCTGTAGCCTTTGATACCACTGACTCCTGAATCATCCCCACAGATGGGGTTGGAGATCATGTTCTGGGATGCTTCTATTCCTGGTAGAAGGAATAATTTCATGGGGAGGCCTGAGCAACTGATGGACTTCAGGCACAAAAATGGCCGTAACGCAGTACCATGTCTTCAGGGCTCCTTAAGTTCTGTACGGAGCTGTTGGAGACAGCCATGAAGAGTTTGGGGAGGGGTGCCATCATTCTGTTGAGAATAGCTATGTTTCTTCATAACGTCTCAACCAGGTGAGACTGTGCGTGTCATGAATCAATGCCAAAATTCAGGAATGGGCTGGGTGGGAGCCAATAAACAGAGGCTAAATCTGACAAGATGGAAGCTTGTGGGTGGATGCTTCCCAAATAGAGGCATCATCGTGTCTGTCTGTTCTGAAAGAGGGTTGGGCTGCTTCGGAAGGAATGCAGTTCGCAGGGAGCTCTCTTGTCATCGTGATCACTGGGACTCGAGTAATCTCCCTTTTTAGGAAGGCCTTCACCAGCCACAACTTTTCTTGCGTAGGGTCAGTCAGCTGCTGTCCCGTGAGCTGGGAGCAGCATTACTGTAATGTGCTCTAGATGGGCTGCGCTTCTATCTGGACAGCAATGTGCAGAACAGAGTGGCAGCCGTGCAGTTGAGGAGGGCCGTGTCACTGCTGATGACAAAACAATCCCACCAGATAGGAGTTCGCTACCAGGTGAATGATGCAATAACATAGGTGATATTCAGGGGCGAACATAATTTTATCTCTTTTGAGTCACTCTTTAAAAGTAGGATTTTTAAAGCTTTTCCTGGGATGTACAGCTCTAAATAACTTAACCTCCTGGTAGGGAGAGCAGCTTCCCCTTCATAAAGCTGTTCCATTATTATGATTACCTGGGGAGGTTCTACTGCAGCTCCACAGAATGAACAAGGCCTTGTAGATCACTGGGCCAAAACTCTCTCCACAGCTTCAGAACCTCTAACACACACACCGTAAAGTTTGTTCCACTGTTCAGTAGCTCTTCATGGTAAGAAATGTTTCTTGGAGTTCACAATAAGCTGATGTCCTTGAAATGTAAGCCCATCATTTCTTGTTTAGTTCCCTGGAATAACTCTAAACAATTCTGCAAAATGGCAGTTCTTCAGATACTTTGAGCTAAACATATCAAATGTGTTTTCTTTCCAGATCCCTTCTCCTCATGGCTGTTGTCCTTAAGACACACCTCGGAGGAGACTGTCAGACGCTCCTAAATCATGGTGCCCACCTCCTCCTCCTCTCATCTTCAGAGGTGGTCAACTCTTACGTTGTTCAGATGCCAACGGCAGATATGGCTGCCCCCTGACTTCTCTATTCCAATTCAGTAGATTTTCATTCTACTCATTTTCATTCAGAGATGGGCTTCTCTAAATCAGCCACCCTCACCTGACCCCACAATTATTAAGAGCCTTTGAAGTAATCATAAGTCCCCACTGACCAGCCGAAGCCTGTGAAAGCAACCCTACCAACTGAAGGTTTTGCAACCTTGGAGACACTAAAGTGTGGTGAATCTCTCCCACTTCTGCTTTCTGTTGGGAACTTAATCTCGATGCCTTGCTTCCTAGTCAACAAACTACCTGGGATTGCACAATCGTATTTTTTCACCAGGATATTCTATTTTTCTTCAGGCATGTTCAGACAAATTGGTTAAATGCTTAGGTAATTTTATAATTGTCTGCATCCTTCTTTTCTCTGATATTTCTTCATATTTTTTGCAGGGTTGTCTTTTTTTGTTCCATTGTTTTATTCCATTGGAAAGGGCCACATTTTTACAACAGGCCCTATCTGTTTATTTTGATTCCTAGAAGTGGATCTAAGGAGTATATCCGCCACCTTGAATTATATATAAAAATAATAAAGGTGGGATATAAACAAATAAATATTTCACTTGTCCCTTAAAAAAAAGTTGCTCTGAATTGGGTGGGGAAGCCCCCCTCCCCAAAAAAGAAGGGCCTGCAGGCAGACCAATTTTAGCCCTTTTTTCTCTTGATTGTGAGGACCAAAGAACAGGAATGGGAACCAAAAGGCAATGCTTGAAGAGGCTTTCAACTTGACCGCAGAAAACCTCCCTTTTTGCGACCCTGCAGGCCCTATTCAGGGTAGAGTCAGAGTGACTAGATGGAGCTGAGTATTTACTGGCCGGATGCCCTTCCTGATGCCTACGCAGAGTTCCCAGCAGATATTTTTTCTTTGCAGCCTTTTGTGATCCTTATACCTCTGCTTCTCTCTCTCCCTTTCCCCCCCCCTCTCTCTCTCTCTCTCACACACACACACACACACACACACACACACACACACACACTTATACAATCCACTGGCTTTCCTTTGCTAGAGATATTTAAATAGTAGGTGGACAGCCATGTCTTGGGTGCTCTGAGCAAAATGACCTCTTTCCATCCTCGGGCCAAAACCTGACATTGCAGTCAGAAAACAAAAATATTCTGGGAAGTTGCCCAGTATGTGAATTTGAATGTTTTAATATTTTCCCCTTACCAAATACACTTGGAACAAACACTGCAGGAAAAACAACAGAACAGAATAGGGCTAATTATGCAATCTTCTTCAAGATTCTCTTATATGTATAAATCTACGTGCATCAAAAAAAGAGCTTGAACCTTGGGGTTTAAGAGACACAGAGGGACAGTGAAGCAGAGGTTGCATGTGATTAAATCCCTAACACCCCAAAACTGGGAGAGAAAATTTACGCTGCCTTCCCGCCCTCCCAATCACTTTTTTCAGTGTCGCTGTAACTACAAACAGTCACTAAATAAACTTGTAAAGTTGAGGACTACCTGCAAAATATCACCCTCTGAATAACTCCTACATAGCAATATTCAAAACTGTCCAGTTTGATTTTTATTTATTTATTTATTTATTTATTCAGATTTCTATACCGCCCTTCTCCTTTCGGACTCAAACAGCCAAAGTAAAACATTTGTACACAAAAGTTAAAATAGATTTAAAATAATTAAATAAAGTTTGGCCCATAATTTAAAACATTTCAATTAAAACCAATATCAAATTTTAAAAACCCACCATAAAATCAGGACAGCCCGGCTAACTGAAAAAAATAAGTTTTAAGGGCCCGACGAAAAGTCCAGAGGTCTTTTCGTGGAGAATTCCCCCCATCTGTTCCCATATTAATTTAGTTGTGAATATCCTTGGTTGCAAATCATTTGTGCACTCTTGGGAATGTGGGAGCTGCTGATGCCGAAGGAAACATTTCATAGGTCCTCTGAGGGCGGTCACACATGGCTCCAAATTGCACATTAGAAGCCATTTCTTACATTAAAAGGTTTTGCTCTGTGCTCTTCCAGGCAACCGCAAAGAAGGTTTTGCAATATGACCTACATGATGTTGTACAGGTAGTCTGGAACAGACCACAGTTGTTGCCGTTTCTCAGGGATGATCCCTCCCCAGCATCTTGTCCAGCTTCTGGCTTGGATTGGGTCAACCTTGGCAACAAAACCATATCAGAGGCCTCGCCTGCTGAGAGAAGTCCATGGTGGATGCAAGCCCTGTTTATTTCCAAACACATGGCTAAAAAGCTGGGGCTTTCCTGAGCTCGGATGGTGGAAAGACTCTCTCCTGGGTGGTTCTTCCCAGGGGGGCGCTCAGGACCGAAGTTCTCTCCAATGGAGACCATGGCAGAGTCTCTTCTGGATGCAGCACCACGTGGCCGTGATTTTGTACACATGCCACACTCATTTGTACACGCAAAGAGAAGGTTCTGCTCAGGGCTGCACAGATTCAAAAGCCGGTTGAGGTGGAATAGATCTACAACCAAATACAGGGAGTCCTTGACTTATGACCACAATTGGACCAGAATTTCCACTGCTAAACAAAGTGGTTGTTAAGTGAGTTAGGTCTGATTTTATAACCTTTTTACCATGATTGTTAAGCAAATCACTGCAATTTTGAAACGAATCAGGCAGTCATTAACCGACTCAGCTTCTCCCATTGACTTTGCTTGCCAGAAGCTGGCTGGTGATCATGTGACCCCAGGATGCTGCAACCCTCATATATATATACTTTGGTTGCCAAGCACCTGAATTGATCACATGATCATGGGGATGCTGCAAAGACCACTGAAAAGTCACTTTTTTCAGTACTGTAGTAAGTTCGAACGGCTGCTACAAGAATCATAAATCAAGGAGTCTTCTTCTAGGATTGGATGGCAGGTGGTGAGGATATTTACTTCATTCCCCCAAAAGAAGGGCAGCTCTTGATATCCAGATCAGGCTCTGTGTGTCCCAGAGCAGCAATCTCCAACCTTTCCAGTTCGGCTGACTGGTGGAGGTGGCGGGGAGGGGGGAGGGGACGGTTTCATGCATGCATGTGCACCGCTTTCACAAATGCAGCCTTGTGCATGTGCGTGCTCCCCCACCACTACCACGGCCCAGTTCCGAACGGGCTATGGCCAGACACTGGGCTGCCGATTGTGTTCTGTCCCCGTCCCACACACGCACCCCCACAGATGGCCTGGAGTTAATAAGCCACACAACAAAATCTTTGAAGATAAAGCTGGCAGCAACCCAGTGGCTAGCTGCCAATTCAGACTTTACTCACACAAAACAAAGATTAGACTGCAGCATTCCGATAAAACAGGCAGAGTGTCAATAATACAAGGATTAGTCCAAATGCAGTCCGATAAAGCAGGCAAAGTCCAGTAACGCAGAGATCATGGAGTATTTCCAGTTTTTGCTCGTCACAAACTGAACCAGCCACCACACCCACATTTATACCCTGTGGGGTGTGGTCCAGTGACTCAGCTAATCTCTGGCACGCCTTCCCCTCTGCTGCGCACGCTTCTCCCTGCGCCACTGCCGAGGATCCAGCCAGTACTTATCTCCTTTGTCGCTGTCCAGCTGTGGCTGTGGGGACGTGCTTCACTCTGAGCCTATCTTTTGGCCTTCAGTGTCCTCCAGAGGCATTGCCAGAGAGGAGGGTCCTGGAGAGGGAGGCCTTGCCAACTCCTCTCCCTCACTCTCATCTGTCGATAGCCAGGCTCAGGCACAACACATTGGTGGTTGGGGACCCCTGTTCCAGAGCAAGGGACCATGAGCAGAGAGGCCAGAAAGATCTGGACTGGGTGAGAGGCAGGCCTGTGCCATCTATCTCCTCTCATGTGCTCTTGTTCCAATTTTCTCATCTTCCTAAAATCTTGCTTTGTTCATTCTAGTACATTTGCACAGAGTTTAAACCTTTCTGCAGAAAACTAGCCTTTTCACTTTTAGCTAGTTCCTTTTAGAACCGAAATGGGGCCTCCGCCTGCACCTAATTCACAGCCATCAGCTGCGTTAACGTTGCTTTAAGGTGGCTGAATTGTCTTGCAGAAGACGGAGCTATTTTCCCACTTCTTTCTGTCCTGCTCTTCAATCCATCATCATTCAAGATCCAACACTGACTCTCCTTCCGTAGGAAGTTTCAGGAGAGTAGAATGAGAGGGAGAACCTGGTAGAGAGAAAGATGGCTGGCAAGGGGAGGCTTTCACTGAGTCATCCATGAAGCTCCGTGTGGATGCCGTGAACTGAAGGGTAGTTGCCTCCTGGACTCACCGGGGCTCCATCACCTCCGGGAGTGATTCTTGCTCTGGCAGGAGGTTGAGGACTACAGTAAACTGCAAAATATGATTATAAAAGTATTTATACTTTAGTTTCTTTAGTTCTTCTTGTTTATAGACTGAATGCATTGGGCAGGGATGGAATATTGGATTTTTACTCTTTATTCATCAGATGTTAATAGATATGGGACGTGGTTTCAAACAACAGAATTATATATGCACATATATTTTTTCTTTTGTAGGTGCAAGTCCTAAAAAGAAGAAAGGTAAGCTTGTTTTTCTATTTTTACGCACACACATAAACACAGTATGATGAGGCCTATCAGCATTTTCATCATCTATCCAAAATCCCACTATTTGTGTTTATCTGATTTAAATGGCGGCCTAAATCATGTTGCAAGACATTCGGCTTGGAACAAAGCAACATTAACTAGTAGAACTGACATTCCTTTCTGGGGAACATCCAGGTCTCTAAAGGTTTGCAAAAGGCTAACAGGGTTGGGTCTGAGAACGTGGAGAGGAGAGGAGCTGGCACAGAGTATGCGCCCCATGGACGTTATGTAGGATACCAGCTGTCCTTCCAGGCCGTTCCCTCCGCCCTGTACACGGGAGCAGCAGCGGATTGCAGAAGCCATCCTATATCATGTCCACAGTGTCCCGTTGACTTTCCCACCCATGGCTGCTCCAGGCAGAAGAAATGGTCTGGAAGGAGAGGGAAGGAGAGCTGCTACCAAGGCAGTGGTTAGATAAAAGGCCCTGGACAAAAATGTAATGCAAGGAAGCGTCTCAGACCAAGACCCTCCCTAGTTAAAGAGAGAGAAGGGTCGAGCACATTCAGACTTAGAAAGTTCTGTTACTGTAGCTTTCCAATACTGGCCTCTCTGGCGATGGTTTGCTAATCCTGAAGGGTTTGTCACCCCTCCTGCTAGGCGGCATCTGAAGGTCTGGGTAGGGATGGGCAATGAGCTCTGCCCCTTTTTCCCAGGAAAAGCTTGAGGCGAGGGCAGGATCTCCAGGGGCTTGCAGAAACGCGGTGCGGGTGGCTGCTTCGTGCTGGATTGCACAGCAGCAGAGAAGGTGTTGGCTAGTTTTTTAAGCAGGCACCTCACTTGGATGGGAAGCCGGGTGTCCACGAGCCAGAACTTGCCTGCACGTGCCACTCTGGATTCCGTGTAATTGTGTTAGACCTGAAGTAGCAGCTAATTTAGCAGCAGAAGGCCCCTGGGAAGGATTAGCAAAAGCAGCTGGAGCATGTCTTACCCTTGGGTTGTTTTTATTTTGGGGGGGAGTGGGAGGGAGATCTGGCTTAGGTATACATCTCATCCTATGAAGTCTAGGATGATATGAACCAGAGGAATTTTATAATACATGTACATAAGGTTTCGTGAAGTTCGAGATTCACTTCAGACCAAAGGCAGGACAGCCGACAGGCAGCCTGGACAAAGGCTTGGCCAGAAGCCAGCCAGGCCTGAAGAGGCTCAACCGTTGATCCTGAAAAGAGGGCGACTTCCGTATGCTTTGCATGGAGAATCTTCCGCCGCTCATGGGTTTTTTTAAAAAAGCAAATTTGATTTTTATTGGTATTTAACACCAGATAAGCTGTCAAGAGTGTGTAAAGGTATTTCAAAGGAATGTTGGAAATGCCAGTGTAAAGAAGGGACTTTTTATCACTTATGATGGACATGTGAGAAAGCAAAGAAGCATCAGAGCAGGATTCACATCCTTAATACAGAAGTTTCTAAAAGTGAACAAACTTTTTATTTGGGTTTGATGGAAAAAGACTTGGAACTTTGATGCTTTATATGTTGATGGCAGCCAGATTACTTTATGCCCAAAAATGGAAGGACACTTCGATCCCCACAATGGGGGACCTGGTGGCTCAGCAGACTAAAATCATTGTGATTAACACCAGCTGCCTGCAATTACTGTAAGTTTGAATCTCACCAGGCTCAAGGTTGACTCAGCCTTCCATCCTTTCTAAGGTAGGTAAAATGAGGACCCAGTTTGTGGGGGCAATAAGCTGACTTTGTATAAATATACAAACATATGAAGGCTATTGCTTAATGCATTGTAAGCCGCCCTGAGTCTCCAGAGAAGGGCGGCATATAAATCAAATTAAAATTAAATTTAAAAAAAAATGGAAGAATGGCTGTAAAAATCGATAGAGTTAGTAGAGGTGGCTAAATTGAATGCTTTGATCAAAGAAAAAAAAAACCACAATTACTTTTGTTTTTATTTGGAAATTGCTTCTGGATTTTGTGCTCAAGGTGGGAAAAAAATGAAATTTTGATATTTTTTTTTTGTTTTATCAATTTTTATAGGTTTGTTGTTATAGAAATGGCTAGTTTATACTATTATGTAAAAGTAAAAAGTTGAGATTTGATGCTGTTATCTTATTGTACTGCACCACAGGGAGTCAGAAATCAATGCCTTTTCTTTCTTTTCCCCCCTTTTCCTACACTTTTCTCTTCCCTTTTCTCTCCCGTTTCTACTATTTTCTTTTGCATTTTTGTATTTTATACTCTAAATTAATTTATTTTTTAAGAAAAATAAATAAAAAGCAAGTTTGCGGCTGCAAAACTATGCACTCTTTATAGTAAGACAGCATTGCACCGCCTGGGAATGGCCTTGACACGAGTGGAAATAAAAATAACATCATGATGTCATCCAATCAGATAAGCCCAAGGAAGCGAGGCTTCCCGATCCACACATTGTTCCTGGGGCATAGGAGTTAAGAGCAGAAATAAAAATAGCTCTCATGATGATATGTGGTCCCCCTGGGCCACCTGCCAGAGTGATGGAGGCGAGTGCACCCTGGGGAGGGGCTCCGCAGCCTGTCTCTGGGTGTGAAAAAGACATTCATGCCCACCTTGACTGAACCTGCCAAGCAGAAGACTGGCAGTCTTGCCTGACCTATGACGGGGATCCACCATTCCAGGACCTTTTCTGCCCCCTCCTGCACAGGCTGGTCCAGAGAATGGAATAGCCCAAATGCCAGTCAGGTCTCATGTCAGTCAAACTGCTGCTCAGCAAGCATCATTTAGGGCAGTGTTTCTCAACCTTGGAAGCTTGAAGATGGGTGGACTTCAAAGCCCAGAATCCCCCAGCCAGCGGCTGGGGGATTCTGGGAGTTGAAGTCCATCCATCTTCAAGCTACCAAGGTTGAGAAACACTGATTTAGGACTTTATAGAGGTTTTGATTTGGGCCCAGAAGCTGACTGGCTACCAGCAAAATTCAAGCAACATTCGAGACAATCTTGGTAGATTACAGGAATAGAGTTATAGGCCTGGATGGGTGTGTGTGTACTGATTTAGCTACTACTTGTAAAAAGGTTGAAGCTGAATATAAATATCAGTTGTGAAGCGCAGTTTCAAAAAACATAAACACCATTTTAGATCACATGAGTAGAAATAAAATTTCCAAATTACAGGATGAGCTAATTCCACCCTCGGAGAGCTAATTTGATGTAGTGGTTAAGACACCAGGTTAGAAACCTGAAGGCAGCCTTGGGCAGGAAGCCGTCAAGGCAGGAAGAACCTGGGCAGGTATACCATCTCAGCCCTAGGGAGCAGGCAATGGCAAGCAGCTTTTGAAATCTTGCTAAGAAATCTTGCAGGGATTTGTTCAAGCACCGGCCAGGAGTCGAGACTGACTCTAAAGAACTAATAATAATTCCACCCTATGATTTCAAGCTAGTCATTCAGATAACTGGAGCAAGTAGAGATTAAGAGAAATCAGAATGGTTCACTTTAGGAAGAGAAGATGGGGTCTCTGACCTCCGGGTATTTCGCTGTGCACTGAAGACCCTGTTGTTCCACCAGGCCGGGCTATCAACATAATAATTTTAAATTGGGGTATTTTAAATTTCTGGGGTTTTAAATTGAGCCGAATTTATTTAATAATTTTAAATTTTTAATTGATGTTTGTCTTGTGTTTTTAAATAGGCTGTACACCGCCCTGAGTCCTTCGGGAGAAGGGCGGTATAGAAATAAAATTATACTTATACTTATACTTATACATTCACAAGCTCCTAACTACAGCGCCAAGCCCTTAAAGCCAGGAGTGGGTTCCGCTTACCTTTACTACCGGTTCACAATGGGAGCGGATGCACAGATCACCCATGATGATGTTGTGGCGGGTGGGCGGAGCCTCCTGCCGGTTTTACTACCGGTTCTATAGAACTGGACCGAACCGGGAGCAACCCACCACTGCATAAAGCCAATTCCAACCAAAGATACTCACATGCAGTGATCTGCAGAGCTAAGCCCCTTGAAACCCTCTAAAACTTGGGGATGACAACAATGGCACCCCAAAGCCTTAGGTGGCACTTTCCAAGAGGGGAACAACCCACTCCAGGCCCACCCAGGTTTCAGTAACACGGATCAAATTGTGGACAAGGTCATTTTTATTGTCCAGACTGTCGTATTGAACAGCAATAGTTAGCCAGGGTGGCTCTCAGCCAGCGAGCCCAAAGTCCCCAAGTCTGGACTGCCTTCAGGATCCCATTATTTCCCCTCCCTGCCCATCACTCTCCCGGGGGCCAGCCTGCTCCCTCCTCCTGCCCTAGAGCCCACCTCGTCTTTGCTTCCTCCTCCCAGGCCAAGGCATTCATTCATCCCACCACTCACTCTACCCCCATACCAGGGGTGAAATCTGTTTACCTTCCCTACTGGTTCGGAAGTGCGTGTGCACGTCAAGTGCGATTTTGAACCCTCTGCGCATGTGCAAAATCTTCTGCACATGCGCAGAGGGTCAAAAACAGGTCACTTCCTGGTTGAAACCAGGAAGTGACAACATCCGGGCGGGTGGGTGGAGGCTCGCGCTGCCACTGCTACCGGTTCACCGAACCATGTGCTGCCGCCGCTACCAGTTCGCCTGAACTGGTGCGAACCGGTAGCATTTCACCACTGCCCCATACGCCCAGGGCTCCCAGCAGAACCTCTTCCTCAAGTCACACTTGCCTCCTAGCACTCAGTTGCAGGGTGGGGGGAGCTGCTATGATAGTCTCCAAGACACACAGGATCAGTCCATAGCCCCTACCCATCCAGGAGTTGGGCAATCAATTGTTCCAAGCCTTTTCTCCCCTTCTTTTTGAAGACAGCCATAAACTTGCAAATATAGACCAGATTTCTCTCAGGCAGGAATGCAAAAATTCCACAAGCATTGCAGGAAACAAGTGCAGGGACCTGTACACTTCGCTTTGTTACCACACAAGACTTTCCTTTCTCTTATTATTGCCTCTGGCTCTCAGGAATTCTTCATGAACTCTCACAATGAAGTACACTAATCACTGTGAATTCTTTCCCTGGTTGTTTATATTCCTCTTACAGTCTCTGCTTACTCAATAGGAAACAGTCAATATCAATCGACAGCTCTCAGGATATATTCATTGTGGTCAGCAGCTGTCCAGTGGACTCTGACACTTCTTGTCTTTCTCTGTTCATTCTGTTCTCTTCATCATTCTTTCTTCCTTCTGTTGGCCCCCTGCAAATGCCTGTCTGCCCACTTCCCGTTACTTTCAAAGAACTGTATATGGATGAGTTGTATGGAGGAAGTAATGGTGTCAGTCCTGTTAACCAACCCAGGAAGCAATAGAATCTGCCCATATAGCTTAGCAGCCATGTTTATTCAAATGAAAACATAACCCTGTATTTTCAACAGGCAAAAAAGCTGGTCCTCCAGGACCTGTTGGGCCCCAAGGCCCTCCTGGACCACCTGGGCCCCAAGGCCCCCCTGGAATCCCAGGTATCCCTGGCATTCCAGGTACCACAGTGATGGGACCTCCAGGACCTCCGGGACCTCCAGGCCCCCAGGGACCCCCTGGGTTGCAAGGCCCTACCGGTAAGTGCTTAGGAGAGCAAACATACATGCAAGAAAGATTAAAACTGTCACCCTACTATATAATGCTTGTCAACCTATGGGGATTTGGAGGCAGATACAGGAATTGGAGAAACTGTCACCTCAGAAGATGCCTGGAATCTGGCCGATCCCAAAGAGCACAAAATAGAGGATTGTCCAAACTACATATTTGATCTCCATGAAGAGATCATGAACCCATGAAGAATGTCACAGATGAGCAAAGGAATTTTCCTAGGACCTACCTGAATCACCTCTTGCTCCTCGTTGTCTTTTCTGTGCAGACTTGCAGCCAGTCCTCTCTCTTAATGCAACAGGGATCAGTGAATTCATCATTAATGCTGCAGCAAGTCTGAGTTATAGCAATAGCACTTAGACTTATATACTGCTTTGGGGTGCTTTACAGGCCTCTCTAAGCAGTTTACAGAGTCCGCATCTTGCCCCCAACAATTTGGATCTTCATTTCACCCACCTTGGAAGGATGGAAGGCTCAGTCAACCTTGAGCTGGTCAGGATTGAACTCCGGGCAGAGTCAGCCTGCAATATTGCATTCTAACCACTGCTAACAACAGCTCTTGTTATGTCACTTTACACTTTACAAAAAAGCACATCTTTCATTGGATGAATGGCCACAAACTATTTCTGAGATTATACTGAAGCTGCCTGTGGTGGATCTCTCTCCACTTTCCCTCCCCAGAAGGTAAAATTTCAAAACGAGACACCATTCCTAACCTGTTTAAAAGGTCTACAAATACACAAAATACTCATTTAAGAATATTGAGTATAAATTGTGAAGCCAAATAATATTGATAATATAATCAAAAAAAGTACTAGCTATTCAGGAATTTTCAGAATTATGCCTTATTGGATATAGGGTGATGTTTTAATAAATGGGAATGAATAAAGGGGGGAGGAGAATAGAGCAATAGTGAAGTAAATGTTCTATGCTAGGGTTGGGAGAGGGATGCAATTATATCAGAGCGACAAGGCGCTAATGGATTTTTTTGGCTGCAGAAGAGTAAAATACAATGTCACGGTATGGAAGGCGTCTTTGCAGATGTAGGTATCCTACGAGATATAGTGCAGATACTCAGACCAATGAAATCCTAAAAGCATGGGATTTTGATGCTTTTTAAAAAGTTTGCTCATATATGACTCTCAATATAAAAACTATTTTGCAGGCACAGCAGAAAGAGCAGGACCTAGGGATTCACAGGTCAGTGACTTCATTGGGGGAAAAACATCAGGTACCCTGATTACAAATGAATCTTGCCTCCTTTTTAAATGCAAAAATGCTAATTTTCCAGCCAGACCAGATTTATCCATCCATTCATCTTTGCATAAAATCTAGATGATCTGATTAGATAAACCTTACGTTATGCCGCTAAAGGACTTATTTGCTGTAATTTCACAAATTTCTGTCAGTTTTTCACAGCTTGCATTTAGGAAATTATTTATGACCAAATAAGTTATTTATAGAAATAAATGGACATTAGCTCCAAGAGGTCATAAATTCATGGTCTCTTCCAGGTTGTCCTCAGCTTATGACCAGATATTTAACAAACTTTCAAAGTTATGACAGCCTTGGAAAGGTGCATTATGGCCTGTAAAACACTTCTGGCCATTATAAAAAGTTGTGCCCCCCCTCCCTTGTGATCATATGTCCACATTTCAGCCGCAAGACTAGTGACTCTCATTTACAACCAGTTGCCAAGCACTTCACAATCCTGTGTGATTGCCATTTGCAATCTTCTCTGCCAACTTTCCCCAAAAGTCAGAGGGGAATCTGGCAGGGAAGGTTGAAAGTGGAAAACCATTCCTGCAGTGCCAAGGAAGATCTCCCCTCCCTGCATGGAGGGGAGGGGAAACCCTCCAGGAGGCATTCTTTTACTTCGTCCATTCAATGACCCGGGAGATGGCTTTACGAGTACAACTGCCAGAAACAGTGACATGGGCATCTTTCCTTAAAGATCACTCAGTGCCCGGGGTTTCCAGTCCTAATTATGGTCATAATTTGTGGACTATATTGTAAATGTTCAAGATGAGCCTATGGGCATTTCTGTATACTGGGGAAATCTGTCTTGTTTTAATCTGAATTTGCTCTCTTCTGTTTTGCAGCCAGCAGTAGTTCATCTGCAAGGCCAGGGATCTGCTATCCAAGTCAAGAATGGTAAGCATGCCAAGCACTCGGCCACAACAAAGACTCACAGTGTCCTTTTCCTACCTTCTGTTAAAGAAAGGAATACAATATTTCCTAGGTTTCTGATTTTAATCTTTCAACAGCATATATCACTCATCTGGTTATCTTTTTTCTTTCTCCTTTGTTTTTTTTTATGTCTAATTAAAATTAGTTACCACATCAATCCAGATATTTTGTTTTCACCTTCACCATCATCTTCGCTCTAGGTTTGCCTCTAATTGCCGTGTCAAATCGAATTTTATCTCAGGTGTTCTGTGTAGTTTCTCCTTAATCTTCTAGGCCTCGAGTGGCAACACCTATAGCTTTTCAGAACAGGTTGCCTCTTTGGTCCCTGATTTGGTGTCTTCCACGTCCCATTTGCCTCAAAGGTGGTGCATATTTGCTTTACACGTGTGTCTACTATTAAACCTCGATGTGCAGTCAAACCTACACTGGTGGACGCTCCAATCAAATTCTAATTCCGTAGCTCTTAGGACAGACCTTCTTCTCTGGTGGACTTTTGAAGCTCTCCTGAGTTTTCTCAAATATCTGCTGCTCCATCTGACGCTGCAGCATCCAGAGAGCCTTCCTTCCTGTCTTCCTGAAAGACCGTTGAGTTCTGTAGGGCTTCATTGTGGAGGAAGGGAGTTCTGAAGCTTCCTGAATTATTCTGCAGCGAGAAAATAAACTGTTGAATAGGCAACCGTTCTAACAAATACAACTTTTCTCACATAGAAAGTTTCCCTTTTTTTACATGGTGACTCTTTGTGTTTCTTTTTAGTGGTTTTTTGTCAGTGCTGTCTCAGCACTATTAAAAAAACAATACTAAAAACAAATACAAAGTGTCACCATCTAAAATATCTGTATTCAAAATTCTTGCATCAATCAGATTTTTCTCAGTTTACTCAACAGCAACCCACACACTTGACCTGGAAGGTATTTTCTTAGTACAGTTCAAGTTGTCTTATTTTCCTTCTTCGATTTATCTCCAAGATAAATCTTCCTCAAATCAGTATTCATATCAGTCTCTCCACTATTTCTTCCACAACATCCCCATGAGAGATACCACCCAGTAAATTCCATAGCCCCACGTTGTTATTGTCCTGCTTTGGGTTTCAATTGCACACAGTCAAACGATGGTTGCTATGGAGATTAGCAATTTTATTTTAAGGCTGAAGAGATAACAGCAAAACAGAACAACAAGAGAAAGTTCCTCAAGAGTTTGCTTTTAATAGGAGCATGCAGAAGAATAGTCCAAATCTGGAGGAGGAGGAGCAGAAGCAGAGTTAAAAGAGGGATCAGCCTAGAATCCTTATGTAGCCACAAGCAGACTACATCCAACCCCTCCCCCCCTTGAATTGCATTGACCCTATTCTAACTCCAAGCAAGTGCCAGCTGTTAGTTGAAAAGATTCCTATGCCTGGCTTTTTAGCAGCAAATCAATTTAATTGGACTTTCATGATTGGATCTGGTCCTTTTTGTGCCTGACAAAATCCAGTCCAGGGTTCCAGGAGCCACATCAGAATAGAGAATAGAGAATAGGATAGGATAGAATTGGAAAGTAAAGAATGGAATGGAATGGAATGGAATAGAAAACAGAACAGAATAGAATTCTTTATTGTCCAAGTGTAATTGGACATACAAGGAATTTGTCTTTGGTGTATATGCTCTCACTGTACATAAGGAGAATAAAATACATTAATCAAAAATAAAAAGATACTTTCAGCATATTTAAAAGACTGTTTACAAGAGACTTATGAATGGGAATGGAAAAAGTGGATAGATTATGTTCAGAACAAATATCAAACTAGGAAGTATCAAATAGCTTTTATTTGAAAATGTTATATTAAGATAGAAATTTTTTAATGTAATGAAGATGAAAAACTATAAGTGGGAAGGAGGGGTTCAGGTTTTATATAAATTTTATATAAAGGAGGGTTTTTTTTATTTTTTATTTACCTGATATGAGTATATTGTGCGGAAGTCCGGGGGGAGGGGAGGGTTAGGGTGGGTTAGGGAGGCTGGGAAGTTTGGGGTGGGTTGAGGGGGGGGGAAAGGGTGAAAATGTAATGGTAAAACTTTTGCAATAAAAATAAATAAATAAATAAAAAGATACACCAATTAGTGATAGTTAAGGTTACTAATAAGCTCTCAAATCGTATTAGGAAACAAATAAAAACAATATAATTGAAAGATACAAGCAACATGGTTATAGTAATAAGTGGGAAGAGATAAGATACTAGGAAGGAAGAGAATCATGGATGTCAGTCAAACAAAAACACTAATTCTAAGAGGCTTCCCACAGAGGTCAGGGGTTCACGGTTTCTTACCCAGCAGGATTCACTGGAATGTCATGCAAGAGCCAGAGATCAGATGTTGTTTCCAACAAAGGGGAGATGGGTCAGGGCTGCCTCTTAAATTAGGTTGCAGCCAGCTGTCATCAATCAAGAGATTTACTCTCTTGGTGGGAACATGTCTCTTCTCTGCTCTCCTCACCAGGTGCAGAGGCTGAGAGGCCTTCAGTCATCCATATCCTCCCTCTGCTCTGTCCAGGTGGTGCCTGTGCTTGATCAGCCTTATGTAATTCTTGGATTGGTGTCTCCTGAGGTTGACATTCCACAGGATCAGCTGAAGCAGCTTCCTTAGATTCGAGATTCAGAATCGAAGTCTGGGCCATGACAGGCATCACGAGAGGCTCACGGCTTCACAACCAGATCTTGAGTCCAGGAAGTCACTTGGCCTGTTTTTAGCCAAAAGGTGCCTAATCCTGACTCATTTCTGAATCTGGACTCTTGCTCAAGGAACCTGGGACTTCCTCATTAGCACTTTTATTTTTCTGCTCTTTGGAATGAGAATGGCAAGCAAGCAAGCAAAAGGCTCAGCATTTCTCTAGAGGAAGGCTCGGGCCAAAAGATGTGATCCAATTCCTTCCCATGACACACTTCCCTACAAGACAGAGGCTGGTTATTAGTGGAAGGGATCAGTGCTGCCCTTAGCCCATGCACATCTTCACCTTTTCTGTAATACGTTCTGCTTTGATCAAGTTTGTACTGTTTTTATGTTTCTTTTCATGAAGGCTTTTGAGTGACTGCCATTTTCTCTTGCTGAGATCTTTCAGGTGGAGTTCTTAATGACTGGTCTCGCATAACAATGAACCCGAAAGTCTTTAAGCTGCACACCCGGAGTGGCGAGCTGGAGGTACTGGCAGACGGCACGTACTTCGTCTATAGTCAGGTAGAAGTGAGTACGGTCTTAGGCCTAACTCCTTTTCCTCTATCCAAAATGCAACATCTGTGGCATCAGAAGGGTGTTGCCGCAGAACAAGGAAGGCAATCAAAAGTGGATGCATTAATAAGTCTCTTGGATCTTGTAGACAATAGGAAATAAATTCAGGACGTTGTGGTATCGCTGAAGTAGCAGCTGTCTTGCTAGATCAGGAATGCAAACTTCTCCTTTTCTAGACTGTAGGTGTCTAACAGGATTCTGATAGAGCCTACAGCCCCTCCCCTCAGTGGTCCCCTCCCCTCAGTGGTCCCACTGACCCCGGCTTCCTCCCTTCTCCAAGCTTGCATCTCCCTGCAGTCGCCACCTGTATGGCATTTTCCAACTGTCCTCTTTGATGGCCAAGATCCCCTTCTCCTTAGCTCCCCCCCTCCATTTCTTGGTTGCCCCATGTACTTATTCACTTACCACCTCAAAGAATGTGTCCTTTTCTATGTCTCCTAAATTTAAAAAACCGAAAACCACTTTTTCAGTGTCATAGGTGCTAAAGGGGAATAAAACCCAACCCACAAACACTGCACGTCATTTGGGGGGAGGGGGGGTTTAGGAATGGAGAAATAGTGTTACAACAGAATTATACCTCCCATAAATAAATGAAAAATAATACAATTTAAAAATAAAACAAAATTGTAAGTATTCTGAAAAGTAAGTATTCAGAGCACATCCCTCGATTTGCAAATGCCAGCCTCTAAGCCAATGGGAGTTGCACAAGCCTTATCTTGGAGCATGTCTACAAAACTCTTCCATCAGCTGCCTGTCCTGCCCTGCCCTGCCCTTCTTGTGGTTGACCTGTTGTCCTACTGTATATTATGAATTGCACTTTCCTACAGAATTTGGGGTGGGGGTGGGGCGGGGTGAATAAGGAATCTGGAACTCGCTGGCAAAAGACGGGCCAAGTCAGCAGGCAGAGAGAGGTGTCAAAGGTTCCCCTTTTAAAATTTATTTTTTTTTTAAATTTGATTTATATGCCGCCCTTCTCCAGAGACTCAGGGCGGCTTACAAGGCGTTAAGCAATAGCCTTCATACTTTTGTATATTTATACAAAGTCAGCTTATTGCCCCCACAATCCGGGTCCTCATTTTACCTACCTTAGAAAGGATGGAAGGCTGAGTCAACCTTGAGCCTGGTGAGACTTGAACTTGCAGTAATTGCAGGCAGCTGATGTTAATAACAGTGCTTTAGTCTGCTGCGCTACCAGAGCTCTTGCAAGACAAGACAAAAGTGCTCCGAGCTTGATGGGTCATTCTGGCAGCTTGTCTGTGAATGCAGCAGCCTGAAATCGTTTACACAGGTGGCATCGGGTTGTTTTCACCGGGGGACCTCATAAAACTGTAATTGGAACATTCTATGAAGAATATGAGGGTGGTTTTTTAAAAAATAGCTTTCCACAAATCATTTATTTAGGTAATAGAGCCCATGTGGATGTCTGTCCCCGCAGGCCAAACCTTTCCCAGTAAAGTTACATTTTTTACTTGTGTGGCTTGCCTTATTCCTCAAGAGATGGCATTTCAGCAATGCTGCTTTGATAGGCCACTAACCATGGAAGTGGAAAATCACCAGAAGCATTATGTTTTCTTTGAAAGTAATCCGTAAACAAAATTAGATTTCTTTCAAGGATAATTAAATTATCAGTTCAACCATCATTGTGTGTTCCATTAAATGAATCGGTGGGATCCTGTGTGCGTGAGACGGAGACAGCTCTTGGCTCAGTGACAGGTGCCCATGTTCTCTGCCATCATTAAAGAGTAATTTATCCTGTATTTTGAATAACAAGCATTGCTGTAGGTGCACTTTTACATAAATCTCCTGTAGGGTTTCTTCCTCCTGGTGATACTTTTCTCTCCCCAATGTTCGCTTCCAATTAGGTGTATTACATAAACTTCACAGATTTTGCCAGCTTCGAGGTGGTGGTGGATGAAAAGCCTTTTCTGCAATGCACTCGGAGTATTGAGACAGGGAAGACCAACTTCAACACCTGCTACACAGCTGGAGTTTGTCTCCTCAGAGCTCGGCAGAAGATTGCTGTGAAAATGGTCCACGCTGACATCTCCATCAACATGAGCAAGCACACCACCTTCTTTGGGGCCATTCGGCTAGGGGATGGACCCTCTTCCTAAGGACCTGATGTGGGGGCTTCCCCAAACCACCTGGCATCGCTGTTCAAAAGATTGGGAAAAGTCAAAGAACTGATATTTATTTTTTTATGCAACTACAGAAAGCAAGCCAGGTTTCCCTTGGCTCCATTGGAGCAGTGCTTAAAAATGGAGCATTGCTGGGGATGGGACCCTCCACCTGAGCTGTATATATCACATCAGAGGCAGGTGATGAGAAGGTCCCTTCCTTCCTACAACTTGCACTGATAAGAGTTACTATGGCAACAGATGATGGAAGGCACACAACTGAATGCTCTCTAGGAAGATGTATGTTAACAGGAAAATTCTTTGTCCCACCCCCCCTCTAATTTTTCATACCAAAATTATAAGGGACCCTAGAATGTGGCCAGGACACATCCAAATTCTGATAGTAATAAATTTCATGTTTAGAAACTGGAGCTATAGATGAGGGACTATTTATAAAGCTGGAAGTTGCCTTTGGCAAAAACACATTAACTATCTAGTTAAAATAGTGAATTCGACTTTCAAAAGCTAATGTGCCATTACAGGTTTTTAAAAAGGTTTATTTCTGGATTTGGTTTTGTAGTCTCTGTCTCTACCTTGATAGGTTCGGAATGTGGCATTTCCCAATTCAGTCTTGATACTTTTCTTCCAGTCCAAGATTAGCAGTGTATGTGGGCATTTTCTTTTCTCAGTAAGCTGAGTCAGAGCAGTAAAACACCATCTTGCCTTACACAATGTATTGGCCCTGAGATGTGGGCAAGCAGCCTGTTTCCTAGTAAGAGAAGAGAGGCTCAGGGAAGACAATTAGGCAGCTCCAGGATCGAGTTCAGACTTGGGTGGAATCTGGGAAGCAACTTTTTCACATTGTGTACAGATCAATGTCAGCCAAACTTTAAAGCAGCTGCTCCCACCGGATACTTTAACGCTGTGAATTATAATTGCAAAGACAATATGACCGAGTACTCTATATTTTTTGCGGAGCAATTCTGGCAAACTATTAAGTCAGCTGGCAAGAGGGGGTCATTTAGGGCTTGCCCGTCCCTTAGAAAGGTGATGGGAGAAGGTTAAAGCAAGCGTTGTGATGATACAGTCTTGTTTCTTCCAGCTCTCTGCCAGGGAGACAGAAAAAAAAAATGTCACCAGTTTGTTTCAGCCAAACCTGTTCTCAGTAACAGCTATCCTGATAAGAGTCATTGGAGAAGCAGAAAAGTACCAGTGTGGTGCCTGGTTTTAACTGTAAAGTTGAAATTCTACTCTTGTGCTATGCACAGATGTCTTGATTCTCCTGTTCTCATTTATTTGCAGAGATGAAGAAATGCTTCTGAAAAAGGTTTGTGTATTATCTGCAGGGTCTGGATTAGCCATGATTTTTAAAGGGAGACTGCAGCAATGCCCCTCCCATCACTTCTAGGGATGCAAGCTTGTTTTACTTCGGACATAATGGCCCAAGACTGGAAACTCCCCAAGGAATGATTAAGCCTCCTCTCTTTCTGCCCTGCGACCAGCAACGTCAGGGCCAAGGCTCCAGGCCAGCCGTTCCGTTTGTCCAGTGGGACGCTAAGTCCCTGGCTTATGACCACAGCTGAGGCCAAGCTTTTTGTGGCTATAAGTGAAACATTTTGTTAAGTGAGATTTGCCCCATTTTACAACCTTTCTTGCCACAATTGTTAAGAGAATCACTGCAGTTGTTAAATTAGTAACACGGTTGTTAAGTGAATCTGACTTCCCCATTGACTTTGCTTGTCAGAAGGTTACAAAAGGGGATCACATGATCCCAGGACATGGCAACCGTCATAAATATGAGTCAGTTGCCAAGCGCCTGGATTCTGATCACGTGACCGTGGGAATGCTGCAATGGTCCTAAGTGTGAAAAAACTTTTTTCAGTGCCGTTGTAACTTTGAACAGTCACTAAACAAACTGTTGTAAGTCGAGGATTACCTGTATTTACAGACCGCCCCACTTCAGGCTTCCTGTTTTTAATGGTCTTAAAAAGAGTTGGCTTTATTAGAATATAAAGTACGACCTGCCATTAGGTGTTTTAAGAGTGATGTTAGTCAAACTCTGTTCAGACTCTGAATGACAGGAAAGCTCCAGGCACAAGTCAGCTTCTCTTGAGTGGGGTACAGATGGCAGGTGGGGGGCAGCCTTTAGGCCGCTTTCTGGGCAACAGGACCAGTCACAATATGATCTCTGTGTATATAGATATATAGATAAATATACATATATATATATATATATACATATATATATGGAGACAGAGAGAAAGATATATATATATATAGATATAGATATATATAGATATATAAATGTATATAAATTGGGATGTAAGTTTAGTTAATTTACAGAGTTTTCTTTGCAAATAAAGCTCTCTTGATGTGATTTCAATGGCTTGAATCCCAGCCTCTGTTTATCAACCACAGACCAAGACAACTGTAGTACCTGATTCTAACTGAAAGCATTACCAGGGCCTGGGACTTCTAATGACTCATGAAAGAATCAGGACAGCATTGTCGGAACAAGATTCCATTATACAAAATTACAAGGTCAAGTAATAATGGTTAGGCGTCCTTTTTATCTTTAGGAAGCGTTTTCTTGGCAGGACTGGTGAAAATGAAACTGCTTGAGAATGACTAGACGGAAAGACAAAGAATATTTATCATGGTACGCTACTCTGAGCTACAATACACCACCAGCTCAGCACTGAGAGAGGGAGGAAAAGCCATTTAATTACTTGCCACACTTCATGGAAATGTAATTCCTGCTCATTTTCCACCCTGCCAGTTCCCTAACAGAAGTAGGAAATGTTTTGAATGTCACCAAGTAGCTCACAAGTTTGTCCCAGAAATTTCAATAAATCTGCCCCAGATACTGCTTAGACTATCATTTTGCAGGATTTCGAGGTACACCGAGGAAATGCCCACTTGATCTTCAGAACATGGAAGAAGCAGCTATGCAGATATATACCTGCTGAATCAGGTTCATTTTTACATGCTTAGCAGGACCATAAACTACAGATGATCTACTCAATGCCCTGGCCTCTGCGTGAATTTTAATTCCTCTACCAAGCCCATTCACAGCAACAGAACAGGGATCCTCTGCCCTCTGCCAGGAGTTCGATCCTAACCGGCTCAAGGTTGACTCGCCTTCCACCCTTCTGAGGTTGGCAAAATGAGGACCCAGATTGTTGGGGGCAACATGCTGACTCTGTAAACCGCTTGTAAAGCACAATGAAGCTTATAAGTGTCTAAATGCTATTGCTATAGCCATGAAGAATTGCCGTCCTCTCTTAGGGCAGGTAATTCCAGAGCAGGGGGGTCCTCCCCCCTTCTATCCTCATGGCTGGGTTTGCCCCTCAGACAAGGGCAGGGGCTACAGAAGGCAGGCAGGGCCTGAGCTAACAGTGCTTGAGCCACAGAAGGCTTCACGTACATAGTCAAAGCGGCTCTGGAGGATACCAGCGGCCTATGTTGGTCTGGTCAGTGAGGGCCAGCCATATTCTGGACAGCCGCGATTTCCAAAGCAGCTCCAGGGATAGCTCTGCGAATGGACTGATTTCTGAGCATCCCAGCCCAAAATGTCTGCCAGTGGGAGGCTGACTAAAGGCCCTCCTTGATGCAGCTCCAAAATCCCATTCAAAACTCTCACTGGAAAACACGGGAAAAGGCTATGCACATCTCACAGAGGGAAATTGAACAGCCAGAGAAAAGGGGAAGCACTTGTTGTGTGCAACCGGGTTTAGTCTGGCGCAGATGCCAATCAGAACCAGACACGAGAGCTGGTTCTAGGAAGTTTTATTGAAGTACTCCAGCAAAAGGGCCTCAGCCGGTAAAGGAGCCAAGACCTTGAACAATTATACCAATATAAATTGTATAGTTATGATTAAGGAAGACTTTGGAAAAAGTGCAGAGAAGAGCAACTAAGATGATTGAAGGCCTAGAGACAAAAACATATGAAGAACGGTTGCAGGAACTGGGTATGGCTAGTGTAGAGAAAAGACCATGACTAAGGATATGTTACAAGTGTCAGTATCACCTTATAAAATGCTAACCATGAAGCTGAAAGTTTAAGCAACACCATCATAGTTTCCATATCCTCTTTTATGGTCCCTTCCCAAGACTTTGCCTTTCCCTAAGACTTTGCCTGTGTAATGCAACTATTTGCCACTGAATGAGTTTTCTGGAGAAACGGGGATTCCCTTAAAGAGTGAGATGGCCCAATTCCTACCCCCCATAATAGATAAAGTATATTTCAAAGGATGGAAGAAACTTGACTCTAGCCTGCTAACTAAGTGAGCATCCGGTAAAGAGTGGTCAGTAAAGCTTGAATCATTTCAAAGGTCTTGTGTCTGTCTCCATGGTAACCTGGGACGTTTTGAGATGCAAAGAGAATTTTCAGAGTAGAACATGATGATGAAAAGTGATGTCACTGCAGAAGGCAAGGAACGCATCAGTGATGGGTCTCAAGAGGTAGTAAGCCCGCGAGGAAAGAAAACATCTCCTAGTTCACATGAAGTGTTAGTACCGCTTTATACGGCCTTGATAAGACCACAGTTGGAATTCACATCCAGTTTTGGTCACAATATAGAAAAGATGGTGAGGCAGAGAGGAACCACAAAGATGATCAGGGAACAGGAGACTGAAATATATGATGGATTGCAGGGACTGGGTAAGTCTAGTATAATGAAAAGAAGGACTAAGGGTGACATGATAGCAGTGTTCCAATATTTGAGGGGCTTTCACGAAGAAGAGGGGGTCGACCTGTTCTCTAAAGCACCAGAAGACAAGAAGCAACAGATGGGAACTAATCAAGAAGCAACCTAGAACCAAGGAGAAATTTCCTGACAGTGAGAACAATTAACCAGTGGAAGCGCTTGCTTCCAGAAGTTGTGGGTGTCCCATCCCTGAAGGTTTTTCAGAAGAGACTGGACAGGCAGCCACTTGTCTGGAATGGTATAGAGCAGTGATGGCGAACCTTTTTGGCACCGAGTATCCAAACTGGAACGTGTGCACACATTTGTGCACCAGCCAGCTGGTCTTAGGGTTTCTGGCACTCCAGCGTGCATGAAGACCACCTGGCTGGCGTGCATACGCGCGCCGGAAACCCAAAGTCCAGCTGGTGATGGCCCGTGTGCCCACAGAGGGCTCTGTGTGCCACCTCTGGGATGCATGCCTGTTCTGCCCCAGCTCCGGATTCCCAAGGATTGTGACACACACCAACGGTCCTTATCAAAGTTATAACGTACCAAGAATAAACAAAGTCCGGCAAAGGTTCGCAACCAGCCCAGAAAACAAGATACGATTTAATGATTTATTTATTGATTCAATTTCTATACCGCCCTTCTCCCGAAGGACTCAGGGCGGTGAACAGTTAAAATAACATACATATAAAATGTGAATATAAGATGATTAAGCCAATTTGGTTCATCGGTTAAGAATTTTCAACATAAAGATTTAGGGAAATTAGAAGAGATTTATGCCAGCCCAGCTTGGTGAAACAGAAAGGTCTTAAGTGCACGACAGAAAGTACGAAGATCTGGGATCATTCGTATCCCTGGGGGTAACCTGTTCCAAAGGGTAGGTGCCCCCACAGAAAAGGCTCTTTCCCTGGGAACCACCAGTCGACATTGCTTTAGTGATGGCACCCTGAGGAGGCCCACCCTGTGGGACATACTGGTTGATGGGAGGCAATTGGTGGCAGAAGGTGGTCTCGTAAGTACCCAGGTCCTAAGCCATGGAGCACTTTAAAGGTAAGAACCAACACCTTGAAGCGCACCCGGAAGATCACCGGGAGCCAGTGCAGCTCACGTAGGAGAGGTGTTACATGTGAGCGCCATGTCGCTCCCAATATCACCCGCGCAGCTGCATTCTGGACCAGTTGGAGCCTCCGTGTGCACCTCAAGGGGAGCCCCATGTAGAGAGCATTACAGTAGTCCAGACGGGAAGTGATGAGGGCATGAGTGACTGTGCGTAAGGAGTCCCGATCTAGAAAGGGTCGCAACTGGTGAATCAGGCGAACCTGATAGAAAGCTCCCCTGGCCACGGCCGTCATATGCTCTTCTAAAGACAGCCGCGTGTCCAGGAGGACACCCAAGTTGCGAGCCCTCTCCGTGGGGGCCAATGACTCGCCCCCAATAGTCAGCAATGGTATCAGTTGGCTATATCGGGACGCCGGCAGCCACAGCCACTCGGTCTTGATAAGACGATAAGACACTCACTCTCCAAAATGCTCTGTAATAATTACACGTTGTTTCCAGCAAGAAATTACTAACTGCGTGCGACTTAAATAGGCTAAGGGCGTGGCCAATTATCCTCAAACCTTACTCTCGAGACCTCCTCCTCCTGAGTAGTGTTGGAAGAAATATCCTTCTAGGTTCTGCTCCAAGTGGGGAAACAAGACACTGGAAACATGGAGACTGCTTGGAAAGATGGTTTAATGGTGGACAGGATCACATGGCTTGAGTTCCTGAACAGAAAAGGGCAGATACAGTAAATCCTTGGGTTTTTATGCTCTCTCTGGCTCTGCATTTCTTGGGGCCCCGAAAGAGTATCCTGATTGGTTGTCAGACTCCCAGGGGGGTGGGGCCTTGCTGGCTGATGGTCACATGTGCTTCCCAGGTCACATGTGAGTTTCTGCTGCTATTGTGTAGAGGGCTAATCCTATCTTTGTTGGATCTTTGGCAATTCCTACTATGGCTCTGCCTGAAGGAGGCAGATCTTTGTTATGTAGAGTAGACTGGCCCAGGCCTTAATGGCCCATTGACAAAGGGTGGGGGCAGGAAGGTGGGAGCTGCTTTGTCTGTAAAATATGCTTCTCCATTTCTCATCCAGGGAAATATAATATTCTGCCTTTTTCATATTTCCTAAAATATTTCACTCTTCCAGGAAAGGGGGGTGGGTGCTAACTTCCTACAATGGCCACTCCTGCCTTTTGGTAGCCCTGCGGGCTTGAGCATTGAGGAGAGGCTCCTCCACTTTGCTCTCTCCACTTGAAGGAGCCTCTGGAGGTTCTGAAGGCCCTGGCTGAGTCTCTGCCTCTGGCACCACATCCTCTTCAGCCTCCTCGCTGTCTTGACGCGAGCACCAGCTCTGCAGGCTGCTGGCGCGACACACCAGCCTCCTTGTCGTCGGGATCAGCCACGATCCGCACAGGCCACTGGTGTGCCACAACAGTGGCATAGGTTCGCCATCACGGGTATAGAGTTCCTGCTTGAGCAGGGCGTTGAACTAGAAGACCTCCAGGGTCTGTTATTCCATTATAAGAAGTTTGAGAAATGTTCCATTCCCTTCATCCAGATGATTGGAAGCTTCTTCCAAATAAAAAAAAGCTGGGAACTCAAAAGTAGGGACCCTGAAGGAGCTGACATTCCTCCTAACATTTTAAAAGGA